TGTGTGTTTTAAGACATTTTTATGTTTATACATACTTTTATAGATACAAACATAAAAATTTCTTAGAATAATCATCGGACTTTGTCCATTTCACAATATATATATATATATATATATATATATATATATATATAGGTGTATCAAAAATACTTTTACAAACTTTGGCGGGTTTCTGATGCCAAAATTAGGTAAAATCTCCATATAAACATATGTCCAAAAGGCCATTGTTGTACCTCAAAACCAACTCATAGCAAATGTTTAAAATGTCCTCCCCTCGCTTCAACACATGCATGCACCCGTCGGATCATTGACTGGTGGACCCTTTCAAATACTCCCACACGGTATCGAATTGTTTCGCAGACCCCCATGACACGTTGATGAAGCGTCTCTGCATTATTAAAGACAGCTGCAAAAAAATTATTTTATGTGGTCCCTAACTATCCATATCTATGACATGGTAGATGTCAGCCAGTGCAATGCGAAGAGTGTGACTAAAATGTGCCGGAGCCCCATTATGAATGAACCACATGCGTTGTTGCATTAGCAGGGGTACATCTTCTAACAGGTCTGGAAGTGTGTTCGAAGTAAATTCCCTGTAGACAGCTCATTTAAGACGTACTGGGAGAACATTTAGACATACCAGACAATCACCTACAATTCCAGCCCAAGGGTTAATCGTAAATGCTGGTCTCTAGCCTGTATTGTACCATGGGGATTCCTATCCGCCCACAAGTGTTGGTTATTTAAATTTCTTATTCCATCTCTTCCAAATGTTGCCTCATCCGTAAACAAGACAGAAGAGACATACAACGGATCGACAGTTTGTGCAATAAACCATCGATAAAAGTTCTCGCGCTGAGTGATTGTTATACTGAAACACACCTATTCTATTGTTAATAGACTATACCACATATAATAAGTAGTAGTAGTAGCAGTCGCCAGGGCGCTCACTGAGTTGGTGATTCAGTCGATGTCGGACATTAAAGTATCAACCACCGTCATTAACTATTATTTCAAGTTCCTAACGTTTTGTACGTTGAACCTTTTTTAGAACCGACTTAGTGAAATACAAGCCTCTACTGTGAAAACTACTCTACAACACACTGGCGACAAGGGATTCGTTCTCATAGGGAGGAAGAAAAACTTTTCGTACTCTACATCATATTGGCGACGGGGGATTCGTTCTCATACGGAGGAAGAACATTTTTTCGTTCACTCTACAACAGTGATCAAAGGGCGAAAGACCCTGCACTCGTTGCAAATGATACCGATACAAGAGCAGCTGTTAAAGTACCCTCAATGCGGTATTATGAAATGTACGACATGCTAGGGCCACTTGACGGGTGCTTATACCTGGATCATCTCCGACATTCTGTAGAATGTGTTCTTCCTGGTCAGGCGTGGGCGCGGTTGTCGGTCTTCCTCGATCCATAGTTTGTGGTGCTACGAATTCTGTCTCAGCAATCGACGGCAGACAGTAGCGAACTTTGGATGACTCGGTTGCCTATAGTCTGGAAACGCAATCCGATACAGCTTGGCAGTTTCACGTCCATTAACATTCACGCGGCCGTATTTAAAACCGTATCTGCCTGCTCACGATATGATTATCCTGCCATTGTTAAACTGCACACTTCCCAGTTAACTCACTACTACACACGTAAAACTTTGAAGACAGTCTAGCCACAAATGAACACGAATGACAAATGTAACCTAGTCTACAAGACAGCACATCGTCATCTTTCTAAAACTTTCATTAAACTTAATAACAGGAAAACGAAAGATTTGCGGACATATGTTTATATAGACATTTTCCTAGCTTAGCGTAAGGAACATGCCAGCAAATTTTGTAAAAGTATTTTTGATACAGCATATAACAGGTGTGACAGCAAAAATGCGAAATCAAGTTACAGCGTGGGATAATTGTCCATCCCACAAAATGTCTAATATCTAAAAAAAAACAAAAACACTAAACTAATTGAGTTTCTTTTTTCTAGGTTTTCCGATAAGATGTTTAGCCATCTTGAGATCATTTGTCGTAAGAATCACTGAAAAACCCTTTGAGTTATTCAGCTAGAAAGAGAACAGGTTAAAAGCGTTTTGTGTCAGCCCGTAAGAGAGCACTGATGAGAGGAAAATGATCATTCAGGTCTTCAGTAATGGTGTCAACATTCATAATCTGGCTTCCATCTACAAAATCCACGATGGATTAAAAAGAAGGAACAGCAGAGAAGAAAACTGGATCAGGAATTCACAACAGAAATAAGGATCATCATTTCAACTTAGAGCTAAAGAGACTAATTAGAAAAGATCCAACTCAATCCATAAGATATTTGGCACGCGAGAGAGAAGTTTCAGCTTTGACAGCCCAAAGGGCAGTGAAAAGACTTGAAAATGAAATCGTACGTGAAATGTGTGTGGGGCCTTGTTACTCTAGAACTGAAAGTTAGAAGGTTAGAAAGAGCGAAAGAAAATGATCCTGGAATATATATATATATATATATATATATATATATATATATATATATGTGTGTGTGTGTGTGTGTGTGTGTGTGTGTGTGTTTTAGGCATCAATCTTTTATACAATTTCTCATGCGATCTAATAATTTGTTTTTATGGAAGCATTATTAATAAAAAAAATAAAAACACTTAATAATATTAACTTTGAACATGGACATAATATCTTGACCGTGTTTTAAAAAGGAAAACATTTTATAAAACATACATACAACAAAATATTTCTTATTTTAACAGTTAAAATATAATCCTTGAAAATAGCTAAATGTATAGCCGAAAGCGCTCGGATAAAAAGAACATTCGGACAGTTTTTATATAATTTATCGTCCGAAAAAAAAAAGTTATTAGATCGAAATTGTATAAAAAAAAACTAAATAAAAGCACCTTGTCTGTCGTTTTCAATGAAATATATATATTAGGTCTAGTCACTGGATCTAACCAACGTCTTTATCCACTGGAACATGTGGTCCATGTGATGAGGAAGAAGGCAATGAAGATGAGGATAACAGTTCGAATAATGTAAATAATGCAAGTAATCATAATACCTCATCTCAGAGATATAGACAGATATATAGAGAGATATAGATGGCCGGAGCGTACAACACCCGAAACGTTGTGAATATGGCAATGAAGATGAGGATAACAGTTCGAATAAGGTAAATAATGCAAGTAATCATGATACCTCATCTCAGTGTTATAGACTGATATATAGAGAGACATAGACATAAAGGCTGAAGCGTACAACGGCCGAAACGTTGTGAATATGGCAATGAAGATGAGGATAACAGTCCGAATAATGCAAATAATGTAAATAATCATAATACCTCATCTCAGAGATATTGACAGATATATAGAGAGACATAGACATAAAGGCTGAAGCGTACAACGGCCGAAACGTTGTGAATATGGCAATGAAGATGAGGATAACAGTCCGAATAATGCAAATAATGTAAATAATCATAATACCTCATCTCAGAGATATTGACAGATATATAGAGAGACATAGACATAAAGGCCGGAGAGTACAACGGCCGAAACGTTGTGAATATGGCAATGAAGATGAGGATAACAGTCCGAATAATGTAAATAATGTAAGTAATCATAATACCTCATCTCAGTGTTATAGACTGATATATAGAGACATAACATAAAGGCCGGAGAGTCAACGAAACGTTGTGAAAATAATGAAGATGAGGATAACAGTCCGAATAATGTAAATAATGTAAGTAATCATAATACCTCATCTCAGTGTTATAGACTGATATATAGAGAGACATAGACATAAAGGCTGAAGAGTACAACGGCCGAAACGTTGTGAATATGGCAATGAAGATGAGGATAACAGTCCGAATAATGCAAATAATGTAAATAATCATAATACCTCATCTCAGAGATATTGACAGATATATAGAGAGACATAGACATAAAGGCTGAAGCGTACAACGGCCGAAACGTTGTGAATATGGCAATGAAGATGAGGATAACAGTCCGAATAATGCAAATAATGTAAATAATCATAATACCTCATATCAGTGTTATAAACGATATATAGAGAGACATGAACATAAAGGCTGAAGCGTACAATGAAACGTTGTGAATATGGCAATGAAGATGAGGATAACAGTCCGAATAATGTAAATAATGTAAGTAATCAAATCCTCATCTCAGTGTTATAGACTCATATATAGAGACATAGACATAAAGGCCGGAGATATAACGGCCGAAACGTTGTGAATATGGCAATGAAGATGAGGATAACAGTCCGAATAATGTAAATAATAGAATCATAATACATCTCAGTGTTATAGATGATATATAGAGAGACATAGACAACGTTGTGAATATGGCAATGAAGATGAGGATAACAGTCCGAATAATGTACATAATGCAAGTAATCATAATACCTCATCTCCGGGTTATAGATATATAGAGAGACATAGACATAAAAGGCCGGGGCAATGAAAATGAGGGTAACAGTTCGAATAATGTAAATAATCATAATACCTCATCTCAGAGATATAGACTGATATATAAAGAGACATAGACATAAAGGCCGGAGCGTACAACGACCGCAAAGTTGTGAATATGGCAATGAAGATGAGGATAACAGTTCGAATAATGTAAATAATGTAAGTAATCATAATACCTCATCTCAGAGATATAGACAGAAAAGTTTTTTTTTTTTTTTATTTTTTTTTTTATTTATTTATTTCTTTGTTCGATTTTGGCAAGCGCAAAATACGACATTTCATAGGATCTCAACGTAATACTTGGATTTGATTAGCGGCCGAAAGCGGCATTTGAAGCAGCAGAAAAAAAGAAATTCATTTCGTTGACTAATGAATAAGCATTTGCCCGAATAAAACAGTGATTTTCTTTTTTTTCTTTCTTTCTGCAAACAAGTGCATTTTCTTTGTCGGTTGAAATGTTGTGATGTAATAGATAGAGTCTCAGGTCGGCTAGATAATGTTACAAGTTCTAAGCGTATGAAGGTGTGGCGCCTCCACTTGTCCAGTTTGATGTTGTTTTCCAGCATTCTTCTATCGTTGTCGAAAATGTCGCCTCATTTATTTTATTCGCTGCAGATTTGACAGGCCATTCTATTGTTTTCGAGTTCATTTCTTCTTCCCCTCTCTGTCACTAGCTCTTCCACTCCTTATTATTTATTTCCCTTCCTATCTCTCTCTTCTCTCTCTCTCACACACTCTCTCTCTCTTTCTTTATTTCTTTATTTTTTTTCTTTCTCTCTGTTCTCTACTTTCTCTCCCTCTCTTTCTTTCTTTCTTTCTTTCTTTCTTTCTTTCTTTCTTTCTTTCTTTCAGTCTTTTTCTTTTTTTTCTTTCATTTTACGTTCCTTCTTTCTTTCTTTCTTTCTTTCTTTCTTACTTTTCTTTCTTTCATTCTCTTTCCTTTCTTTCTTTCTTTCTTTCTTTTATTTCTTTCATTCTCTTTCCTTTCTTTCTTTCTTTCGCTTTCTCTCTTTTCCTTTCTTTCTTTCATTTTCCTTCATTCTTTCTTTCTTTCTTTTCTTCTTTTATTTCTTTCTTTCTTTCTTTCTTTCTTTCGCTTTCTCTCTTTTTCTTTTCTTTCTTTCATTTTCCTTTCCTTCTTTCGTTCTTTCTTTCTTTTATTTCTTTCTTCCTTTCTTTCTTTCGCTTTCTCTCGTTTTCTTTTCTTTCTTTCATTTTACTTTCCTTCTTTCTTTCTTTCCTTCTTTCTTTTCTTATTTTATTTCTTTCATTCTCTTTCCTTTCTTTCTGTCTCTTTCTTTCTTTCTTTCTTTCTTTCTTTCTTTCTTTCGCTTTCTCTCGTTTTCTTTTCTTTCTTTCCTTTTTCTGCTATTTCTTTCACTCTTTCTCTCCCTCTTTCTCCCTTTCTCTCTCTTTCTTTATTATTCCTTTTCTCTCATTAACTCACTCTTTCTTTCTCTCATTCACTCTTTCTCTTTTTCTATCTTTCCTTCTTTTTATCTTTTTCTCCTTCTATGTATTTCTCTATGTATTGCTTTTATCTTTCATTATTTATCTCCCTCTCCCCCCTCTCCCCCCTCTCTCTCCCTCTCTTTCTCTCTCTCTCTCTTCATTTTTTATTCATTCTTTCTTTTTTCTCTTTATCTCTCTCCTTCTTTCTTTCTCTCTGCCCGTTTCTTTCTCCCCCTTTCTTTTTTTCTTTCGCTTTTCTCTTTTTCTTCTTTTCTTTCTTTCTGATTTCTTTTCTTTTATTCTTTTTTCTTTCTTTCTTTCTTTATCTTTCTTTCTTTTTAGTTTTTTCTTCTTCTTCTATTTCTCTCTTACTCTCCCCCTTTCTCGCTTTCTCACTCTCTCTCTATTTTCCTCTTTCTCTCTCTGTATCTCTCTTTGATCCTTTCTTTCTCTCATTCACTCTTTCTCTTTCTTTCCTTTTTTGTCTCTCTTTTTCTCTCTCTATATTTTTCTGTTTCTCGCTTTTTCTTTCTTTATTTATTAGTAACCCTTTCTCTCTTGCTCTTCCCTTTTCGTATTCATTCTTTCTTTCTCTCCTTCTCTTTCCCTTTTTCTCTTCCTCTCTTTCATTTTCTCTCTCTCTCTTTCTTTTTCTTTTCTTTCTTTCACTCTCTACTTGTTTCTCTTTATTTATCGATTTCTCTCTATATTTCTTTCTTTCTATTTGTTTCTCTCTGTTTCTTTCTCTCTCTCCTTCTTCTCTTCTTTTTTTAAACCGAATGCGTTCATGTTCACCATTACTGCTGTCTAGTCATTTCGCGCCTTACTGGGTGCTCTTTTCTGGTGACCATGTGCCAAGTTTTGTTTCGTAAAAAAAAACTCAAGTGACGTTCGCCTTCACAGAAAAATGCACTTATTTTTTAGTCGTTTTTTTTATTATTATTTTAATTAATTTATCCGTTTTTACGACTGCTTTTTTTATATTTAAGAATGTTATACTAATCTGTTACACGATTATTATAATAGAACTCACAGCTCTGACAAATGGGCGATGGAATTAGTTCTGTAGACATAGTTCTACGGCAGGTGCTTTTTTGGATATAAATTCTAATTAGCATAGACGGCGACTGAGAAGAATCGAATCTAGAACACTAAAGATATTCGGTTTTAGTCTGGCAAAAGGACATTATAAGGGAGCGCCCAAGAGGTATCGAAATCGCTATACTTGTAATGGTCGATGAAGATAGATTGTTAATTGTTATTCTTTGTTAACCCTAACAAAAATTTTAATAAAAGAGATCCGCATGAAAAGCTGTGTGTCGATAAAATACCATTCAAAGATACCATTCAAAGATACCATTCAGAGATAGAATTCAGGGATACAATTCAAAGATACCATTCAAAGATACCTTTCAGAGATAGCATTCAGAGATAACATTCAAAGATACCATTCAGAGATAGAATTCAGAGATACCATTCAAAGATACCATTCAAAGATACCTTTCAGAGATAGCATTCAGAGATACCATTCAAAGATACCATTCAGAGATAGAATTCAGAGATACCATTCAAAGATACCATTCAAAGATACCTTTCAGAGATACCATTCAAAGATACCATTCAAAGATGCCATTCAAAGATGTCATTCAGAGATAGCATTCAGAGATACCATTCAAAGATACCATTCAGAGATACCATTCAAAGATACCATTCAGAGATGCCATTCAGAGATAACATTCAAAGATACCATTCAAAGACACCATTCAAAGATACCATTCAGAGATACGATTCAGAGATACCATTCAAAGATACCATTCAGAGATGCCATTCAGAGATACCATTCAAAGATACCATTCAGAGATGCCATTCAGAGATAGCATTCAAAGATACCATTCAAAGATGCCATTCAGGGATACCATTCAAAGATACCATTCAGAGATGGCATTCAGAGATAGCATTCAGAGATAGCATTCAAAAATACCATTCAGAGATACCATTCAAAGATACCATTTACAGGATACCATTTAAAGAAATTAGAATGGTAATATTCGTGTAGGGCAAGAATGTCCGGAATGCTTTTTGGAAATGGCGTTGAAAGTGTTTGTTTTTATTTTTTCTCTTATTTATTTATTTATTTATTATTATTATTGTTGTTGTTGTTGTATTCCTAGTAAGGCGATTTCCTGGGCAACTTGTATGTTGATGTTATCTGGGACACTGTTAGTAAAATTGTCCATTCCTTTTCTCACAAGGCCTAAAGCTCCGATTACTATTGGTACAGTCTCAGTCTTCATTCCCCACATCATGTTAATCTCAATCTCCAGGTCCTTGTACTTGGACAATTATTTGATGTTATTATTATTATTATTTCCTTTAATTACTGGTGCATACTCATCTCTTTCCGGGTCCTAACCAGAGACCCAAGTTCAGAAATGGCGTCATGCCATTTTCTACTGAGCATTTTTATTTAAAAAACAAAAACGTCAAAAAAGGACTTGGTAGAACTTGTACCATTAAGTTATAATATCCCCCAAAACTCCCGCCCCCAAATTCTAGAAGGCTGACAGTTTGGGAATACCTGGTTCTGTACGTGTTGATATGCAAGTGGCGTAATGGATAATGGCTCGGGTTTGTTAATCGGAGTAACGAGTTCGAATTCCCGTCGGGTTTGTTATATTCACTTCTGCGTAAATTCTTTCGGTAAAATTATAAATCCACTACATCTCCCCTAGCTATGGGTTAATAAGTAGGACTTGCATCAATAAATCAGTAATATCTCTAGAAAATTCATATGATCAAAAATATTTTCTGTCTTTAAATAACCCGCAAAAGGTTGGTAAGCTGGAAAAAAAATTATTCCATCTACATTTCAACAACTGTGAAAAATTTTACGTTGTTTTATTTACTACTGTTTTTTACATAAAACATTTTCATTATTATTATTATTATTTCCTTTGATTTCTGTTGTATACACATTTCCTTCCGGCTCCCAACCAGAGACCTAAGGTAAGAAATCATTTCATGATGATTTCCACTGATCACTTTTGGGCAAAACCCCCAAAAACTAAGAACACACACATTTTACATAAATAAAGCCCTTCGTACCGCAGAAAGAAATGGGAAAAAAACTGCCTCGTCAGTCATGTATCGAAAGATGCATGATCGCCTAAGCGTGTATCTCACAAGGCGCATAACTCTATCGGAGAACCGAGTTCGAATTCCAGTCGAATCCATTACATTAACTGACGTACTATTACCTTTGGGAAAAGGTATGAATCCTCTTCTTCCTCCCCCCCAGCTATGGTTAAATAGAATTACAGACCGGTTTCTGTAGCCTTGGTTGGCAAATGGTCTACCGCAGAAAGTAATGGCAACCTACTGCGGGGAAAAATCTGCCTCGTCAGTCATGTATCGAAAGATACATGATCGCCTAAGCGTGTATCACGCATGGCACATAACTGACTGACTGATTTCAATTCTGTTGTCTTCAAGGAATTCTGCTCTAATGTCGTTTGATTCATCTTCAGTAACAGAATCTGAATCAGAGCAATTGTTTATGTCGCTGCCGGATTCTTTCATTCTATTATTATTATTAATAATAATAATAATAATAATAATACCACAAACAAAAACGGTGCTTCCTTATTGATATGGCAGTCCCTGCTGACTGCAATGTATCTTTGAAGATATTCAAAAAAGTTGTCAAAATACAAGGACCTTGAAATAGAAATCTCGAAAATGTGGCATATGGGAACATCAACAATCCCTAGGACTGGTTGGAAAAGATTGCAGTAGACTAATTGAAGGGATTCCTGGAAGTCCATGCCTCAAGGAGATACAAAAAATTGTTCTGGCAAGTGCAGCCCACACCTTACGAAGGGCTTTATCTATGTAATTTAATTTTTTTTTTTTTTTTTTCAGTGGAAATTGTCATGACGCCATTTCTAACCTTAGGTCCCTGGGCGGGACCCGGAAAGAAATGTGTAAACGCCAGAAATCAAAGGAAATAATAATAATAATAATAATAATAATAATAATAATAATAATAAAAGTTCTTGAATACACCGAATACTTTAAGTTATCTATCAAATAACAAAGCCCTCAGACAGCCAACACTTTCCTCAGAATATTCGCAGTGCCCCCAAAAGCCAAGATTTGGATAACTCCAACTTGATATGCTATCCCCAACTGGTCAGTGAAGTCACACAGTTACAATGGGATTGATCCCAGTGATCCAATCACTGCTGGAATTACCTTGACATTCCCTTCCTGCATTCCAAACAATCTTGCCATTTCTACTTTCAATTCAAAGCAGTTTATAATGTCCCCAATCATCTTGTTTGCTAGATTTGTGTCATTTGGTATGCCAAACTCAATAATTTGACAGTACATGGTTCTTCTATTTAGACCAGTATTTCTCAACCATTTTTTACTCATGGCCCCCTTTTTCCTTTCTTTTTTTCTTGGTAGACCCCTTAATAGCTATTTGAAATAAGACAACAGTATTCTATATTTCACTAATAAAAAATTTGAGGTTTTAATAATTAAAGAAATATTATATAATTAAACTTTATTTTTAAATGAAAACTAATTTAATGCAAATAAATTATTCTACAATTATAATAATAATAATAAAATTATTGACCAATATTACAATGTTTCTTCCATGGTCAAGGCCATGGAGAGCAGAACACTTCAGGCAATTGAATTCATAGGAGCATTTATTTACGCACACGGGTTAAAAATTTGAATAAACCAATTTCAGTTAAATACGTGATTAGAAAAAAAAGAAAGAAAGACATATTTATTCAACGGGATCCCTGTGGTTGATGTTGCTCAGCGAGTTTCTTTATGTCTGGTTCCATCGATGCTAATGATAGTCGAAGATCATCGCTTTTCACAATGTCAAGTCTATTGCGAACTTTTGATAACGGTCGAGAAACACGACTAAATTCCGATTCAACAAGATAAGATGTTCAAAAATCAATAACGTAGCAATTAATTTTGAACCTTAGGTATCGAAAATTCAGTGGAAGTAGCTATATAAAAGAAATAAAGAATCATTCATATCTATATCTATATATATATATATATATATATATATATAGAGAGAGAGAGAGAGAGAGAGAGAGAGAGAGATAGATAGATAGATAGATAGATAGATATAGATGAATGATCATTGTGCTAGATCAGATATATATATATATATATATATATATATATATATATATATATATATATATATATGACCTAGCACAATAATATACAGATGGCTATAATGTATCAATTTGTCGCTCTGAAAATCATAGTCCCAGAATATTGTGGGCTTTCAGACTTCTTCAATTATTCTGTAAGGCATATACTTTTTTTTTAAGCGTTTCACCTCAAGCAAGACGAGAAGCCACTGGGACGCAAGGGGGTTACAGAAAGTTTGGAGCAAGATCAGATAGGAGTGACAGAAGAAAGGATGAGGAGAAGGTTAGTGGATAGATCAAGGCAACTGGAGATGTCGATTGACATTACATTTGAATAGCTGGAGATTACAGCTCTCAGGGAAACTGGAATAGGGAAGGGAGTTCCACAGGCGAGAGGTGCGAGACATGAAGCTATTGGAGTAGAAGAGACGGCTACATTTAGAAGTTTCGACAGTGAAGGGGTGAGAGCGGGATGCCAGCCTCGTAGGGCGCCTGAACTCATGAAGACTGGGGACCAGCGAATGCAGCTCCTCGGAGCAATTGCCATGAAAGTATTTGTAAAACAAACAGAGAGAGGTG